CGGAGCCCACAAGCCATCTTAGTTTGGCAGGGATGCAGATAACTCTCTGGAGACTTTCTGCTCACTGGCATTGATCATGCCTCTTCCCACAGCTGTGGGTCGTCAGGGGTGCTCTTTCCACTGCAATTCTGGCCCTCCCTCCAGCCAGACTGTCCATTTTTTTACTACCCTTAAGCACTGCTAGAGAAGAGCCAGGCTATTTAGCATGGCTGCAAGACAGGTTAAATACGATGCCAGCCTGAACCTCTGCCCCGTGTGGGGCTCCAGCCTGAAGTCCTGGGGTTCCAGCAGGGATTTTGAACCATGCAGAATCAAATGCTCTCACGTGCTTCAGGCAGACAGCAAGTGTGGGCTGTGCTCAGCTCTACAGCTGGTACCCAGTCAAGAAGGTTTGAATTGCAGTCACAGCCCGTCAGTGTCTCACACAGTTTGTTTTGACATACACCAGATGACTTGAGTCTTAGAATTTGTCGCTTGTATTTCTAAGTCTCCAGAAAGCTCCTGGTGGTAAAATCCATTGTAGAACACTTTGAAAGTTTGAAAAGAAATTGTGAGAGTAAAACTTATCCCCATAATGATAAAAGTTACTTGCTAGAACATTAAAATACCATTTCTACCTTATCAGAATACCATCTTCCACTGGTGGATTCCTCAGCCTCACCAGTAGCTGAAGATCTGCCAGCAGATAGGGGATGGAACACAGCACATCTGCAGTTGCTCTTTTCCTAGTTCCAGAACAATCTATTAAATACAAAGTGCTGGCAAAGGAATGTGTTGCTTTAATGTACAACTGCTCTCCCTCCTGCCTACCCATATTTCCATAGTTGACTGATATCTTCTGCTAGCCATTTAAAGGAAAAAAGTCCTATTTCTCTCTGCTGTGAAGGAGAAATCCAAGCTGCAGATATGAGATGTATCATTGAGTCCATGGGAGTGGACATAGGAGTGCAGTGGGCTGCAGTTGCTCTGACTTGGCCAAGAAGCATGAATAAAACCAATTTCATTAATTCCTTAACTGATGTCCAGGCCAGACCTGATGCATCTGTCAACTGCTCTCCCCAAGCCCTCAGCAGGCTTCACTCCCCCTGACATCCCCAAGTGAGGAGGTACAATAGAATTGTGTTTTGAAGGCAAATTTCCTATCCCAGGCTCCAGCACAGCAGGTCTTACTGGGATGTGAAAGTATAATGTCTGGTCCCATTCAAACAAAAGAGATGAAGAATTAAATTTCCAGGCATGCTTGCTGAGCTCAGGGTAATGATGTCCAGAAGTATTAGAAGCAGAATTGTTTGCACTGTCATTTCAATGCAACAGGAATTAGATGCCTGCTGCCTGACACTGTATAATAAATATATACATTTTAATGTAAAATAAACACAAACTCGTTTTACTTGGTATTTCTCCTCTTTTTGCTAACCATTAGGTAGTTTTGTTTGTGGAATGAGAAAAACTGGCAAAAAACATATATTTCAGTCTAGATATATGCCATCACCTGTAGGCAAATTCCATTCAATAGATATCTAGAATATAGAAAAGGCTGTTAGTTGTGAGATCTGGTCAAAAAAATCATTCCTCTTGAACAGAAATATTACGAAGCCAGACTTTCATGCTCACATTTGATGAACAGTTGCTGACACGGCATAGGAAGAGCTCAAGGAGCAGAGGGGTAAGGAGAGTATCAGGCAAGACTGGTAGCCAAGAAAAAAGTAGCCTGTAGTCCTCATTGACCCTTAAAATACTTTTACCAGTTAAACATTATTATTCAGACCAGCTTAGGAAACATGGGCTTTTCTTACTTTTCAGATACACGGTTGATCCATCAAAGTCTAGTGAAATCTGAAAAAATTCCTGTACTCGGTGCAGTTGGTTTTGGAGTGAAGCCCATGTGCACTGGCTCATTAAACTTTGCCTAGTGCAGGTATTTGTATCTTTTGGATAACCCATAGCAGCAGCCTCAAATAAACAAAGCACTGTTCTTTGAAATAATATTAAGCCAACAGCTGCATTTAAACCACCTATAGGTGGGATGATGTTCATTAACCCAAACTCAGTCATTTGCAATGGAGCCTTCTAAGCTAGTAGCTTTGATGTTATTTATGGTCATCTAGTCATATAGTTGCATTCTGTATAGTTCCATGTCTGACTTTGATCACTTTGTTAGCTACTGGCTCATAAAAATCAGGTACCTGGCCCTGCTGCGAAGCTCCTTGGCTCCTCTGCTGTGATCAGAGAGATACAACAGCAACAGATACAGCAAGAGTGAAGAATGCCTAGTGGGTGCCCTTGTGCCCTCAGGTTTCTGAATATCCCTCTGTTAGGCTCCTCCTTTCAAAGTAGTGTTTTTTTCTTTTGAAATCAGTCTGTTTTGCAGAGGGAGGAGTTAGAAGGGAAATTCACTGACTGAGGAATGGTGGAATATTTTTACCTCAGGCGAAGATAAAATAATTTTCCTTTTTAGCTTTGACTGCTGAATTAAACCCTCATAGTTCACATAGATCTAGAAGCGGAGCGTGCTCTGTGCTGACCATATTTTTATAAGCATTGCCAATTTACATTTAGCTGCTACTTTCTGATGCTCTTTGTCACAGTTAAGGTCAGACCTGTTGACAGAGAGAGGGCAGGGGAGAGTCAGATTCACTCACAACACAACATGCTGGTCCTGCTGCCACAGCTTTTGATCCCTAAGGGCTACTTTTTAAGGGTTTTTTTCCTCCTAAAGCTGCTTCTTGCCTTTAATACAGAATCTCTCATCCCTGGCTCACATTTTCTTTTGCAGATAACCTGACAGACCGATGTGAAAAAATGGTGTGCCTGTGTGACCAAGAAGCAGCCAAGTGCTGGGGAGCAGCCCCATACAATCCGCACTTCATCCTCTGGCCAGACTTTTTATGTGGACAGACTCATCCCACCTGCCATGTCAGATATGGGGGGCTAGAATAGTCTTTTTAGGACCTTTCTTCTAAGAGTTTGAACCTAAATGTGGTGGAATAAAATTTTTCCTCGTTTTCCAGATCTAACAATGGTGTGAGAGAATTTCTGTCAGGCTAGGATTTATGGTGAGGAGAGACAGACCAGAAAGGTGCAGTGGTGGAGTTGCCCTCCCTGTGAGAGAGCATTGGAATGTATCGAGCTCTGCCTTTGAGTGGACAACAAGCAAGTCAAGAGCTCATGGGTTAGGAAAAAAGGCAGATAAATAGGGGTAACACTGTTGTTGGTATTTGCTACACAGCACCTGAGCAGGAAAAAGTGGATGAAGCTTCTACAGGCAGCTTGAAGCAGCCTCACAATCACAGGCCCTGGTTCTGCTGAGGGACTTTAACTACCCTGACACCCGCTGGAGAAATAACAAGGTGACAAAAGTGATTAAGGGACTGGAGTATCTCTCTTATGAGGAAAGGCTGAGGGAGCTGGGTCTGTTCAGCCTCGAGAAGAGATGACTGAGAGGAGACCTCATCAGTGTCTATGAATAACTGAAGGGAGGATGTCAGGTTCTGCTCGGTGGTGCCAAGCAATGGAACAAGAAGGCATCGAGTAGAAACTGATGCAAAAGAAGTTTCACCTGAACAGGAGTAATAAGAACTTCTTTACTGTGACCAAGTGTGGAAACAGGATCCCCAGAGAGAAAGTGGAGTCTCCCTCCCTGGAGAACCATCTGGACACAATCCTGTGCCATGTACTCTGGGATCGTCCTGCTTGAGCAGGGAGGTTGGAGGTGGGCCTGTGGTCCCTTCCAACCTACCCAGCCTGTGATTCTGTGACAGACTAACATATATGCTGAAGCAAAGGGAAGATCCTGCTCTGATCATGATCAAGGTCTGCCTTTGCAGAAACAGAGGGTTTGGTCTGTGGTGCGGTGGGAACACATCTCCTGTCACCAAATAGAGCTGGTTGTTTTGTTTTGTTTTATTTTTTATCATAGAATCATAGGGTAGTTTGGATTGGGAGGAGCCTTTAAAGATCATTTAGTTCCAATCCCTGTGCAATGAGTGGGGACACCTTTAACCAGACCAGGTTGCTTAGAGCCCGGTTTTCTTATCTCTCATGCTCCTTCACCACAGCACTGGAGACACTTCCGAGCTGTGTTCAAGGGTAAAAAGAGATATGCTGAGCTATTGCAGTTGCAAGGTCAGCAAGGATTTCTGTCTTCTACTTACAAGCAGGCATACTCACACTTTGCAAATGAATACACTCACTGCTCCACAGCCTTCAAAGCTGATATGCTGCTCTCTAATACATATAGGAGATGGTCTCCTCTATTGGCATGTCCCTCAGTAACTGACTGCCTGGGAATCAGTTATTGTCACATCAGAAAACAGTGTCTGTGGAGAACATCAGTCATGTCAAACAAATCTTTCATCTATTTTTTTTTTTTTTTTTTTTTTTTTTTTTTTTTTGGTATTAGAGGCTTATGTTCAAATGCTACATTTCCTTCTGGCAAGAGAAACCAAAATTCCATTATTTCAGCCAGGAGTAGCTGTGTTAGACTGGGCCTTCTTTGCATCTCTGTCACAAGTGTTTAGGCTGGAGCAAGTTACAGGACAAGAGCCTATTTGGCAAGAGGTACAAGACAGATGGGAGCCACACCTGCATCCCCACAAGCAATGCTTTTGATTTCCTTGGGTAGGTGCTAACACTATATGGGCATCTGGAGCACCTGGGTAGGCTGGGCTTCTTCTGTCTCTGCTGAAGCTCAGCTGACAAACTTTGAACTGCACCTTTAAAATAGGAACTAATGGCACAGAAAGACCCAGGATGCCTCATCAGAGTCTAAATTCAGAGATATGTGGCCAAACTAAGTGGAATTTTGGCAGGTGATAATACAAATTTCTTCACAAAAAGCTGCTTTGCTCCTTGCTACAGGAGGATGGTGAATATGCCACTGTGGCTGTCAAAGCTGCAGGAAAAAGAAGCTTGCTAACAAAAATAAAAATGCCAAAGTCAACGTGTAGAGGCAAAGGCTTTTATTCCATCTAGAACTCCATGTTTTGGCTTATGGAGCATCAGAAGTTGTTCCACTTGCAGGCTTTGCGTATCCCAGCAACTCCTGTAATGCTGCACCTCAAGCTACACTGACCAAGAAAGAAAGGAGAGAGAATGAGTGAGCAGTCAAGAAAACACAATAAACTCTCCGAGGCTTTCTGGCAAAAGAAGGAATTATGAACTCTTAACGTAGAGCGTTTGCAGAGGGGTGATGCTGTGTGGGCAGCAGCAGCCTATAGAAGGGAGTGCGCTTCCCAGCAAGCGCTGGAAGATTCTCCCCAGTGAGAGAGGCAGAGCTCCCAGCGTGTCCCTGTCCCCGCCACGCTGTCCATCAGGTGGCGGCAGCGCTCCAGTGAACGGCAGGAGCAGCTCTTCTTTCAGCCCTTCCAGGAGGGGATTTTTCATCAGGCTGAGCAAGATTTTTGAGCGCCAGGGGAAGAGGTGCAAATCACACGTCTCCTCAATGAATACAAAAAGTCAGCTGAGCTCGCTCTGAAACGCATACCACATCTTGGGCTGCTCAAAATGGAAACTAAACTTGTTTCAAAATGCAGTGTCAGCCTCCTCAAATTAGACCAGTTGATAGAACAGAAAAAAGCAGGTGAGCTTTTGGTACATCAGCCTCTTATAGGGGCATTTCTTTGCTCATGCGTCGTGAAAATGTCTGGTTTTCCCAACGTTATCAGCTGATCTAATAGAAGATGGATCTTTAAGTAGAGCTTTAGAAACCATGCCTCACACACCTAAGACATCATAGGCTTTCTGTACACAAGCATTGCAAGAATACTGATGTAAGCATGAGGTTGGCAGGAGGAAGAACCATCCTTCAGCATAAACATAAAAGAACTGAATGAGTCCTTGGTTTTTGTTAAAATAAGCTGCCACATCTCATTGAAAAACTCTTAGTCCAAAGTGGCAATTAAAGAAGATCCTATTATTTTCTTTACAGGTAGCTCATTAGGCCCATTAGTGAAACTCCCAACAAAAACAAAAAAACTATTTGAAAAAGTGACAGAACATAGAATCAGCTCTGTTAGAGTTTGTTTCATACTGCTTATTTCCTGAACCAGATCCCACATCTGACCAGAGGTGGATAAATGTCTAATTTGTCTTTCACTTAAAACACAGGTACCTTGGGCAAGACTCTTGCCTCATGCAGAGGATGCACTTCCTCAGCTGCGGGGTTAAAACAATGATCAGAACCACTATGCCTCCAACACCAGCTGCCACAACCCCAATGATTGTTCCAATGGATTCTTCTATACCAAATAAGCCTGGGGGAGAAAAGAAGGCAGAGAGAGTAATATAAGATGTTTTCCAGACAAGTATATGCAATGCAGCCAGCATCTTTTCCACAGTGGCTGCAGAGGAAGCTGCTTATTATGATCATGCTGATGTCTTGTCTGACATGAAATCCCTTCTACACCGGAGAGTAACTTGCACTATAGAGCTACTGATTTTTTTCATTCCTATGTAGGAACTCCTAAGCAGCATTCCTAAGCTGCTATGCTGTCTGGTGCTTTAGGACAGGGCAGCCCCATTGCCCAGAAATCTCCCTCAACAGCTAGACATTATGGGATGGCAGAAGAAGCTGCTGTTTAAATTAATGGGACTCAAGCCTGCATACTTTATTATTGAAAGGAAAAAAATCACAATCACTCTGACAACTTTGAGAAAGCCATCGGTCTGTCTATTTACTTCCAAGGGAGACAGCACCAGAGAGCAGAGAGAGCTCCACTGAAGTCCTTTCTTTGACTGGTTGCTCTTTGGACTGTTGCATGGCAGAGATGGCATAGCGCTGAAATTTTACATTTCATCATCTCAGGAACACAGAAAGGCAGTTATGCTGGCCAGAGTGCAGACATTTCAAGAGTAACCTGTGCTACTGAGACCATGAGATCAAGCCAACAGGAGACCTCATCAGACACACGACCAAGCCCTTGGAGAGGGGCACAGTCACTTGTCTTAGTGTCACAATTTAAACTGAGTAGTGTTATAAAAATTAGTAACTTAGGATCAAAAGGCCAAAGGCTTAGGTAATCTTGGTGAGATAGAAGCTTTGGTGATGAAAAAGAGGAAAATTGCACTTGCATAAATTACTATTGACCTAGAAGAGGTATTTTTTGTTAATTAGATAATAAGATAATAACCCTTCTAATGTGTTGACTTTTTGGGACTGGAATCTGTTTAGCCCACATAAAAGGAAAGTTTGACATTTCGAGCTGCTACAGACGTAGCAAGTTACCTCTTTACTTAATATGCCTAGTGTCTATCTGTGAGGCCAAATAAACATGGCACTTTTAATGCTACTTTCATTTTAATGTGAAGTAATTTAATCAGAAATTATATAATGATCATATTATATATGATCCTCGTGATTATTGTGGGATTACTTATGTCATTCAAAGTTAAGGAATGACTATGCAAGTTAGTGGGTTGGAGAGATATATCCTCAAATAAAAAAGAGGTCTAGAGCTGTTCCTTGAGATAGTACCTTGTCACCCATCACTCATGGAGGTTCTGCCAGAGCTGTGAGTACAAGTGCAACTTGTCTGACTGTTTCATTCTTTGCAGTGATTTTATTTTTATGGATAACATTATTCCTTCTTTTGTGGTGTAAATGCTTCTCCTTATAATAATATCTGTGATTGTTTATAGAGACAAGCTAAAGAATTTTAGCTGGCCTCACAAAAATAATGAGATATTCTATAGAGCAATTACACTCCATGACACCACGCCCTTTGCTAGAGGCCAAACAGGCCAACTTCTCTGTTTCTGCAAGTGTGCAGACCAGATTTGGAAGAAAAACCAGGAGAAAAAAGGTAAATAACTCCAAATATTACCCAGAGCCCTCCTGATCCTGAGCTTTGTGCCACCTCCTGTTACCACCTTCCCGTCCGGAAGTGTAACCTCACAGAAATAAATACCATGGTCACTGGTTGTCACATTGAGGATAATCAGGGAAACATCCCCTTGAGACAAGTCTTCACTCATGAAGATCCTGGAGTTATTTGGCAAGATTGTCACATTCTTTTCTAGGAGGTCCATCTGCCCCTTTTCATCTTCTTTGTACCACTTCACCATCAGGTTGGTCAGGGAGAGATGCTGTAGACTGTTAAGATGACAATTCAAGACCACAGTTTCACCCTCTTTGGCTTTCTCCTTGGCTGGTGTTTGAGTCACCAAAAGGTTCCACGGCTCAGGTGTCAACAACAAAGGCTGTGCTGTTACATGACTCACAGCTGCTCCATTCTCCTTGTTTGTACCTCCACCAGTAGCTCCCACATCTGTACTAGGGAAGAGAGAGAAGACGACAGCTGAGGGTGGTAGGATGATAAATGTCCCTGCTGCTCCTGACCTCTAGCCAGTACAAAGAGTGGCTCCTTGGAATTAGCATGTGAGGGCAGTCCTTGTTATGATGATAGGGATTTTCTTCCTAGTTCTGCTTAGATTATGTTCTTGTGTACAGACGGGTCTTTTCCTGAATATCAGCTCCTTTCTACTGCCATACTAGAGGAAGGAAGATTAATGCCATCGTCTAATGGCTTTGGGTGAAATTTAGAGTCCAGACAGACCCATTTCTATCTGCAACACTAGCCTCTTTCTTCCCACCTCGAAAAGTCTCAGGGCCTGATGCTCCGGCCTCAACTGCTTTTGAAGCAAAGCAAAAAATGTATGTACAGTTATACATTGGCAGTTCTATTTTGGCAAGTACAGTGAATAACTGTGCATCTAATGCAACTACCTACATTCCAAGACCTAATGTGATTCTTAGAATTTTTGGCATGCACTTTCAGTTACAGGACAGGAAATCTTGAAATCATGGGAAGAATCTCCATTACCAGAGACTGAACCCCTAGCAAGTCCTATCAGCAGTCTGGGGGACAGAACATCAGCCTTATGCCCATACTGAAGCTCAGGGTGACAGCTAGTCTCTGTGAAGGGACCATCTCCTGCTAACATTTGTTAGAAAAACATGAAAATATCTGTAGCAGACATTTCAACCTGCCTTCTCATATTCAGGTGCTAATCATAGTATTATATCCTTGAGCTAAGAGTAGTTAGAGTGAATATCATGTCTGGAAACAAGCTTGGACACAGAAAATGAGAAGAATAGTTGCTGTCTCGAAAAAAGGGAAAAGCAAACCTAAAAATCAGCTTCTGCCAAGAAAGAGTTAAGACCAATTTTTGAAAAAGGCTCTTCTGTTGTTTTATTTTCCTCAAGTGGAATAGTCTCCCCTCGAGCTAGTTGGTGAGTTGGTGTACTCTCAAGGACTGCAGACCATTCCAGAATGAAGGTCCTGATTTTCCATTGTCTTGAGTCTTTCATTGCCATCCACAGATGTGAAACGCTATTGTGTGAGTCTGGTAAAGCATCACAAATGACAATGGAAACTCTCCACTCAGGGACAAATGTCTTGAGGCAATGGAAAACCGAACCTCTTTATGATCAGTTTGAGAGTTACTTGAATGGCTCCTCCAGGCATGCTTGTAGACAAAAATCACAGCTGTATTCACAGTTATTATTATTTATTACACACATGGGAGTAGAGGATTTCTGTCAGCCAGCAGGGCCCTGTTCCGGGCACCTTACAAAAGGTTGGGGTATAGAGCTTACAGTTTAAATATGAGACAAGAGAGAACTCATGGATGCAAAAATACAGGAACTATAAACTGGCTGTGAAAGTGGGCAACAACAGAGCACATGAAACACCTTACAAGCTGTTTGGCACTCTGTGCTTTTACCTCAAAGTGAAAATTTTTGCCTTAGAACTGGAACATCAGCCCAAGGGAATTGGATGCCTGAGAATTAGATACCCAGATATAGTTTTGAATCCAGTCCCCTAAAATTAGTAGTTCTTATTAAAGGTACCAGGTGAGATATTATCCTTCTGTTCATATGTAATCCTACCAATGAGCCCACTGGAGCTTCTTGGGGAAATCTGAGGTCCAGATTTCCCCTGTCCAGTTAGATATGTGTATCGAGGCAGAAATCATAAAAGTTGAAGTATCTTGACAAGATACTTTGAGGAAATATAAAATATAATTGAAATAACTGACAAAGCTTGACATATTACAGGTTTTGTGCATCAAATATTATGAAGTAATCCATTTAGTTATTTATTAGAGTGAATTTGAGCAGTTTCATAATGAGTACTCTTTTAAAATCTCAGTTTATTAACCATTTTCTCCACTGGGTAACTGCTGTTTTAGCTAGTGTGTGCTACTGCTACTTTGTTTTCAAGGAATGGCCACAAAATTTCTTCTCTGCTACAAGTGTTCTAGTCTTGCCATATGCACCCCTGTAACACAACTGTCATTTTAATTTTTTTAGTGATGCAAAATTATACTTTTTACACAGACACTTAGTGGCATAGAGAACTGAGTAACTGAGTAGGAACAATGTGTTTTGGTGTTGCCTCTGTTCACCATGAGTTGTATACACATCTCCTATTATGAAATAACTGGCCTTGTCATCTGCTTTATTCCACATCTTTGATTCAATACAAATCATTATTAACTTAATTAGGAAAATTAAAACAAGAGAAGAGTAGGCTGTTTTGTTTCGTCCCAGCTCCCTTTGGGAATTTCACTGTGAAGGTCACAGCACTACCTCTATTTTTCTCCCTTTCTTTTCTTTCATTTTCTTTTTTAAGGCTGCAAAACTGGAATATATTAGTTCACTGGTATTCAATTCACAATGCCCTTATCGTTTTGGCATCTGGGAGCATACCATGCCAAATGCTTTGCTGACTGCTTCAAAGCTCTTTTTAAGTCGATTGCTTCATTAGCAGAGTGATGTGTAGGTCCCTTGTCATGCAGGTTGTGGGGCTTAAGCCCATGGAGAGGAATGCAAGGCTTTGTGGTGAAAGCAATTGAGCTAGACAGGGTACAGAGAAATACGGCATGGATGATCTTATCTAGACCTGGACAAACGATTAGATGATCTAATAGGTCATTGTTGTATGAAGTCCTTAGTTCACATCCAGTTTTCAGCCACGAGGGGAAAAAGCTCTCTGGGACTCCCTGTAATGTGGCAATGTGCTCCACATTTGACAATACTAACAGGGCACCTACTAAAGCCCTGAGCCTCTCCTTTATGTAAACTGCAGGTTGATACTTCCCTATGTAAGACCATATCAGACCTGTAAGTGAGAAATATGCAAGGCAGGCTAGAGGAGCTGAGGTGACATAAGGAAAGAATAAAATACTGCTGCACTCTCTTCCTGTCTTGGAGCCTCATTTAAGTCTTTGGTGCCTGGAGAAAATCCGAGCAGCCCTACAAGCTTCTTCTGCCAGCTGCCAACAGCATGGGGCAACCAAATTGGTGTGTGGAGGTCAGCACAGAATTCTACGTTTCTAGTTTAGTCTCCTTTATTCACGCTCAGCAGCTGGAGAAGAGATTGAGGGCAAATAGGGCTCAATTTCCAACCCACAAAAAATCTTCTCCTGAAGAAACTACTGTCTTTCAGATAGTTTTATTTGCTTTAGAGCTCAGCTTCACACTCATACCGTGCTGGTGCCATGAAGGCACTTTACAAGCTGTATCCAGCTCCCAGACCTCTATGATTAAGTGATGAATGACTGCACATTGCTGCTCTTAATTTATATGACTTTTGCCCTGGACTGAGCTTGGCTTTCACAAATAGATATGAATAACTACCTTGTGACAATAACTGGTGGCTAATAGATCAGAGAAACAAAGTAGAAATGAAGCTTCTAGGAATTATGATACACATCTAGGAAAAGATAGGCAAATACACTCTTTTTGAACATTTATATTAGATAAACAAGAATGTACCTAAAGAGAAAAATATGTTTTAATGCAATGCATAGCACTAAATACAATTTTCCTGCACCCTGAGGAAGCCCTCAGTTGAAAGTCACATTTAAAAAAAAAAAAAGGGAACTCTTCAAGCCAAGCTCCAAGAACAACCGGTATTTCTTCTAATTAATGAAGGTGGTTTGGTACTCACCCACCACCGAGAAGATGATGAATAAAGACACTGCAGATCTGTAGAGTTTCCCTATATGCTGGCTCATGGATGCTGAAGTACACGGCCTCACCATCTCTCCCTCTGGTAGTATGGGTAAAAAATATGTGTGTATTACAGCAATAGGACCTCACATTCTGCCTGGTGAATGTCATACTTACTAAAGTTACCACAGCTTTGAGCTCACTGTGCTCTGCCTGCTCCCTGGATGAGAGCCACCTTGCAAGTGACAACAATTACTTCCCCTGCGGCTGTTCTGATCTCTCTCTGAGAGCATGTCAAAAATGCTCTGAGAGCAGAAGGAAGATAATACATTGTTTTTCACTTTAGGCTTGTATAAACCACAGCTTTGGGCTAAGTGTAGAATATCCAGATACTCCAGAGGAGACTCTCTTCTGCTGAACGCCCCCCCTCCCCGAGTGATGGTGAGAGCACAAAGAGCATGGGCTTAATTTTCTGAACAGCCAGACTGTAATGCACTGCAGTATCACCCTAATGCACCACAAAAGGAAATTTCAGGAACTCAGTATCTCTGTTGCTATATGCACATGGTATTTACAGGTGTCCTGGGGTACAATGCAAAAATGTGTATTCTATCACCATCTGTTAAAATGTAGGAGGGGTGGTGATCCTTATCTCTGTGGGAGATATCCTCTGCTGATGTGCCATCTGATAAGATCGGGGGATGATCATCGTTATCTATTCACAACCCATCCTTCCTCCAGAAGATATATTCCGTTAATGGGCCATTAAGTCCTATTGTGTGACTGATAAGATTACATCATCCCATTGGGAGATGCCCCAGCCAGGGGCAGGAGCCAAGGCTTTCCAACCTAGATAAAAAAACTGGGATTTGGGACGCGAAGACAGACCTTTCCACTGGATCCCGGAGGAAAGTCGGACCATTTCCACATCATCGCTGGATCTTCGGAGGAAAACTGCATCTTCTACACGAGCACTGCTTCAACTGAACCACATCCGTCATCCAGGAGGACTGCAGCCACCATTTATAGGGACTGCTACCAACACCCTGACTGACAGGGTGTCAGGTTGTATTTCTGACTGTGTTGGTGGTTGTTTCTTTATATTATTGCATGTATTTTATTTTTTCTCTTTTCTCCTATTAAATTGTATTACTGACTTGGAGTCTCGCACTGGTTTTACTTTCAAACCAACACAACAGGCAAACTGTATTACCCAAAGTGGTTTTTGTTCAGTGCAGAACAAATCCTTTTTCATCAAAAGTTGACTATTTAAACTCTATTTATATTTAGAGCTTGTCCATACAACTTAGGTGGAGAGGAAAACTGCTGGAGAGGACAGCCTATCTGCAAAACCAGCAGGTGTGATCTGAATTAGCCCGTGTTTATACATGGCCCACAGAGCACCACCCTGTGAGAGGAGCTACAGCAGCTCCAGGCCTCATCTGTACCACCTCACCCTGCCAGCCATGCTATGCTTGTACCAAGCATGGGCTACTGTCACTATTTGGCTGACAACTTTTCCTTCAACTACAGTATTAGGGATTATGGCACACATTATCTAATGATCTTGCTTGTGTTCAAAACTCTCCAGGTATTGGAATTGTGCTTGAGTATCCAGTAAAGACTCAATTTCATAACTCCTAAAGCACAATGCAACTGAGAGAGGTATGAGTATTTCTGCTTTTCATTGCATTTGAAAGCAAAAAGGACACATACTTGATTCACAAAACTTGGCTGACCAAATAATGTCAAGAGGAACAGCCCACTCCTGGAGTCACCTGTTGTCACTTTAGCTTTGGTGTGCAGATCCCAAAGCAGTGGAATCAGCGAAAGCAGGATAGGTTGGAGGGAGTATGGTTAAAGGAACCTGAGAGGCAAATACTTCTATGAAATGGCTTGGAAGAGTGGAAAGACCTGTGGTTACCAAGCAGGAATCATATTAGGAAGGGAACTTGGGCCAAGTGCAGAGCAACAGAGCACTCCAGAAAGAGGATGGAAGTTTGTGTGGGACTCCAAAGGAACTACTGCCAAAGTGTTAGTGAGCAAAGCCAAAATATCCATGAAAAGAAAAAGTTACAGGATTCAAAAACAATGAAGAGTTTCAAGAGGGAATAACCAGTAGAGTCGAAGGTACCTGGCAGATGAAGAGGATTTTGGACTGAGTTATTGGTTTAGAGTGCTGATTGTGACTGCATGTCAGAGGAGTCAGCATGTGAAGATGGATCTGAACCAAAGGCAATCCAAACACTGTCTGATTTAAACCAAAGTTCTTGGTGTGCTTCAAAAAATCCCTTCAAGTGTGTTGTGATGCACATATCACCATTGTTCCTGCAAATGCTATTTATGTTCATGCCACCCGAAACTAGCAATTTTCTTGTAAATCCTCCATTAAGTAACTCATGCCTGAGCCAAAGTGCCAGATCAGCGAGATTTTAACTGAGGGAACACAAAGGAGGCTGGTTAGTGTTGCTGGCAGTCAGTAGCTGAACATGAAGCTTCTCCCACTTGGATAACCCAATATAACTCAGTTTTTGGACAAAAAGAAAAATAAACTGGTACCCTGAGTGTTTTTGAAAAAAGCCCTCAAAATTCAAGTTTCAGGTGCAAATCAAGAAAGCAAGGAACAGAAATGAAACAAAACATATGTTGTTTTTTACACTCTCTTGTAATTTTGGAGACTTCCAGTTGCTTGCATTAACGCTGTCTTGTCTGGGCCAACAGCTGGGAGAGGGTGTCACCCCTGGGGACTTCGGGAACTTTTTCTAATGTAGCAGTGAGGAGGTATCACTGGGCCCTGAGATGTCCAGGGGTAGCCTGGAGAAGAGGTAGAGAGAAAGGGGACAACAGGAAAAAGTAGTGTTGTCACAACAGGCTGCTTTACCCATCCATGTGTTTATCCATCCATCTGTGATAATTGATAAAAGATTCGTGCTAATCACAAAAGTATTGGGGCTTGTATAAACCAGAATACTAAGCTCTGAAGTGAAGCATGGACACTAGACAAAGGAAATTATATGATAAAATCATTCTGTTTTAAATCATCTTGTTATATTATGTTATGTTTTCCAAATAAGTGGCATCTACCACCAGCTTGCAAGATCAGACTTCCCGATAGTCCTTCCTACCTTTGTCTGATCAACGCTACTTATCTCAAGCACCAGACTTCCAGAACTTCGTTGGTGGTTATCTACAAAGACCAGATGGTTATATGTGAATTAGACTATCGCCAGAGACTCTGTGAATTTGAATACGGATGTTTATTCGACCACCACTGCTTACCTGGCAAAATTGGGGCAGCTAAAAAAACCCCAAAATTATCGATTACGGCAAGAAACCATAGTATAAGAAGAGGTTATGGGCCGGGCTTCAGTGGGGTGTGATGTGGGCAGTGACCCCTCACGTTCCCCAGCGTGCTGCTTGCTCTGTCTATATCAAATAAAGCAATCTACATTTTGCTGAATATCGAGACTTTTGTCTCTCATTTATAACACATCCATCCATCCATCCATCCATCCATCCATCCATCCATCCATCCATCCATCCATCCATCTTTCATCATCTACCAGCCAACTACTCAGCAATGTGATTTCTTTACACCTCTTAGGGCTCTTCTTTTTCCTGTGAGGTGAGCTGAGGGTGCAAATCTGTGAGACATCACCACTCTGGTTAGGTCCACTGATCTGAGGAGCCCTCGGGGTGCACAAAGTTTGGGAAACAGACCACTCGCCGCTGCTCAGCAGCTTCAAAAATGAGACCCATGAGATGAAACCCCCCTCACTGACTTCCTTCATGTCACCTCATCCTCCACTCGGCCCGTAGCCAGCCTTCCCCCATGGCCCCTAGGAGCCCTCAGGAGCCGTCTCTGGGCAGTGTTTTTCGTCGAAGCCCGAACTCAGAATTTGGGAGCCGTTTTGCTGCCCGGACGCTGTTTAACCGGCTGCGCTCACGGAGGGCGGCGGGCGCGGCACTGTCCCTCGGGCAGGAGGCAGCGAACGCCGCCCCCCCCGTAGACAGCAGTTTTTTCCTACTACAGCCCTCAAACTTTCCACCGGCGTGTAGGCTTCCCATTTAACCCTTGCGGAAGCCGCAGAGGGGCTGCCGCGGCCCGACGAGAAGGGGAGCGGAGGCGCCGCAGCGCTCTCCGCCCCCCATGAGGCTACCTCTCCTCGGGAGCAGCGGCGCCGCTCGCCCCTGGCAACCTCCTTCCGCCGCGGGCCAGCGGCGCGGCCGGCGCCGGCCCCTTTAAATGGCGGCCGCGGCCCCGCCGTGCGCCCCGCGGAGGCAGCTGGCGGCCGCCGCGCGGCCCTCGCCCTCCTCGATGGTAAGCGCTGCGCTCTCCGCTCCTTGCCCGCCCCTCCGGTAGGCTCCGTGCCCCCGGCCACCCTCGGGGCCGGCAGTGGGCCGCGCAGGTAGGTTCGGAGGGCAACAGTCCCGCTCCCTTCCCGGGCAGCTGCACGGGCGGGCTCGGACGGGCGGCGGCGGCACAGCCCGGCCCGGCCCCGCGGCCAGCGCTGCGAAGCTCCGCCGTCCCCACCTACCTCCCCGAAACTTTTTGGGGCGAGGCGGAGCCGGGGGCAGGGTGGCCCTCAGGGCTCCCCGATGAGGGGGGCGGCGGCGAACGCCCCGCGGGGAGGGTCTGGGCTCCCGGGAGAGCCGGCGGGAAGGCGGCTGCGGGGTTGCTGGGCAGCCGCTGAACCCCGGCGTTTTGTTGGGGAGGGAGCGGGCGAGCAGCAACTGTTGGAGGTTGCAGCAAGTGCGGGTGTTTGCGTGGAAAAGCCCCCCGGGGGCAGCTCTGCTCTCACACCAGGTAGCCCGGAGTGTCTGTGCCTTCGCCTCGCCCCGCTCTCCTCTCCGCAGCGTGTCCCCAGCCCGGGCCGCGGCCCCGGGTCAGCGCTGGGTGGGGGTGGCCCAACACCCTCTCGGTTCTGAGTGGGTTTGGAGCTGGTTTTGTACCGTTTGCGGGGGGGACGGCACCAGGGACATTCTGTGGCTTAGTTTCTCTTCATAAAGGAGAACTAACTTCCGAAGTGAAGAACATTGATAACCATGGAGAGTGCTACAGAATTAGAAAGCAATGCTGGCTATTATCTTTATAGTAATTGATATGAGTCAAATTACTTGTTTCTGAAGTGTTTGGTTTGTATTTCTATACAATTTGTAGTGTAAGTATAAACACTTAAGGTACTAGTATTATAATAATATATGATATGTCAGTCCTCTGGTAAAAATGCTACAACTGTATGACCTTTCTCAAGTTCTGAAAGGTCTCACAGGTTCCTGAGACGTGTGTTGCATGTTAGGCACTGATGTCTCCTATTGGTATTGTTTCTGTTCTAAGTATCTTCAATGTGCAAGTTTGGGGAACTGCAGTGGAAACAAAATACTTGGATAAAAAATGTACAATATAATTGAATATAGTATTGTGTAGGGGGAAAAAATAAAACAAATGAAAAAGCTGTCAGTGGGAAGTGTTTCCATGCCACTCACCTTGGTGAAACCATCATGCCAGGTTTCATTTAATATACAGCTGTTAAAAGGACTAACCATCTTGTTTCACCTTTCTCCACCACTGCTGGATTACATACCTTACTTCTTTGTTCACAGGAAATTCATGAAGTGGATCATGGTCTTATTAACCAGCTACTTGCTGATTCAGAGGAGACTCTTAATTCATGCACAGAGAAAATGCAGAGTCCTGCTCAGTATAGCTGGAGTGCTGACTGGAGCTTTTGGGTAATGTGTTTTAGCTCTCTCCTAAATTGGTTTTAATTTATAAATATAATACATGTCTATTTTAATTTGCATATGTATGTGTATGTACAAGGTTTACATCCACAGTTCTCATGTTGCTTTGTAGTCATGAATTAGTAAAGTGTTCTCCACCCATGTAGTGAGACAGGTAATTTTATCATTACTGGCTTACTAAAGTGTAAGGTGAGACTGAGAGGGGGTGAAGTTGTTTATCTGATGTCATGGATCAAGTTAGTGACAGAACTTGTGGCTTCTGTGCCCAGTCCTGTCTCCTAGTTGCAGCATGAACCCATCCCGTGTTTCTTTTGCCTATAGAAAGACGTTTTTGATGCTGTAATGCTTTTTAAACATAAGGGCTGAATTTTGATTTTCGGTGGTTGGTGGTTCTGAATTGCATTCCTAGTGTTCGTTTTTGTCAAGTAAACACATTTGTTTTTCAGAAGCGTAAATAAGCTTCCTGTGTTTTGTGTAAAAATTGAATTTGTGAATAAGAAAGGCAGAAAAGAAATAATTTAGTTTTTTTCCCTTTCTGGGAAAATGCCTGACTGAAAGCAGATTCTCTAATAATAGTACTTACTGCAGTACTTTTCTTTTGGTAGATTTTTTAAAATGCTTTGAGAGAAGGTGAATGTGTGTGTGGAGATTTGGAGTGTATGTTTTGCTGTTAATTTGGTACATGGATTGTTATTGTTTGATACGGAAAGATCAAATGTGTGCATGGAGCCACAGGCAGGGTAACAGCTGATCTTATGACAGTCATAGAGTGCCAGAGCTGTGAGGAAGGGAATCTGACTCAGGTTCTGTATCAGATGTCCTCAGCACATCTGTGTGCTTCAGCTCACAAGGACATCATCTGGACTACTGTGTCCTTCTCCTGATGAGGTCGTCACAGTGTTCATTGTGCTCAGCAGGTAACTAGTGAAGGCCAGAAGGAATCCATAGCAGAGCTGTGAGCAGAAGCAGGGGGATCAGATTTTCCAACTCCATATTTATAAATATATCTGGTATGTTTTCATCACTCCTGTTCTCAACTAGATGTCCTAATGGTCAGGACATCTGTTTTTGCATCTCAGGCCATAGGATAAATCCCTTCCAAATGCATGTATACTCTTAAACTGAGCAGTAGTAATCTGGAGCCAATGGAAATGGAACAGGCCTAATAAAATACCAGCAGGTCATAGACTTGTGTTTCTAGAGTGAGTTCTTGGGGTGTTCAGTATTTTCTTCATTATCCCTACAGAGACAAGGATGATCCAGGCCTGTCCTGCCTGTGCCCAGCTGTGTCTCCGTACTTGTGTGGATAAGAAGTCATACTGTGCAGACAGTGTAACTGCCAACTATGCTCTTATCAGGTGGCAAATTAGCTTGTGTAAACTAAGGCTTGATGGTGTGTAGACAACCACTAATGCAGGTGGTATTTTGTGCAAGGAATAAACCTTGGTGTCAGGTTGTTGGACCTGCAGTTAACAGCTCAGTCTTTCCTTGACAGGCCTGGCAATTGAAAATAAAGTCATTAAAGTATTCTGTATGGAGAATGTAGCTGTGCTATTGGCTTTGCATTCTTAGGTTTGAGACACATGCTGAAGGCTTGAGGTTTCCTTGAACGGAGCTTTGAGCTGCACAGTGCAGGATAGTGTGTCCTCACAGTGCCACTCTGCTTCCTGTAGTAAAGTGTGCCTGTAACTTCAGGGGAGTGAGATTCTTCAGTGCTGTGGCAGCTGCTGTGTGAGTGAGGTGTTTTCCAGTATGATTAAATTATTATCTTCTGTCTGATTTATATTCCAAGACCTTTGTATGTGTTTGCTGTTGGTGTTTATCTGGTTCTGCAAATATGACCTTGCAGTTAAAACAAAGTAATTGTGTAAGTACTTCCCTTTTGTAAGATAACGCTGCCGCTGGAAGTGTTGTAGCCTTACACTTGGTCACTGATTAGTTTTAAAAGCCTTTACCAGTCTGGTTGTAGGAAGCCATGGTGCTTATTTTCTCAGCCTCAAGACAACTGAATTGTAAAGCAGCAAGAACCAGGAAGTCACAAATTCGAGGTGAAAATTAAGATCTTCTGTTTAAAATGTTATGTCATTGGCATCTCTCCTTGCTCTTGACAGAAAATGTTTCAGTAGCTCACATAGTTAATGATCAGCTGTTGATTATTAAAAACAAATCATTAAAACTCCCTAAATTCTGAGTCATATTAAATATTTAGGTGACAGCATGGAAGGCAGCTTGTTGCAGTGTGTGAAGCATGTGTCACTAATATTTGACAAAGATAATCTTAGTCTCCTGTGGCAGTGGGGGACCTGTTATACTCGTTCCCAGGAGAATGGAGGAATTGCTACAACAGCAGGACTAGCCTGTGGCAGCATGCAAGGATCAGCTTTGTTGCCAGGGTTATTTGCTTGGAGAGGCTGCATGTTTCCAGCAGCTTAGGTTTGCTCCAAGGGCTCATTTCTTCTGAGGGAGATGTATTCTTGTTTTGCTGGTGATAGAACTCAAACGTGGATGTTAGAGCCTGACTGGTTTGACTTCAGTTTTTCATGGATTGAGTGGGAGTAGGCAGTTGTGCCATGCCTCTGGAAGTCAGGCCAAGTATCAGGAATGCTCAATAGTGAGCATATGTAATTAGCAGCAGGCTAGGGCTGGCAGTCTCTGGGACCCAATCTGTCTCCTGGCTATGGTGAGTGGGGAGAAGGAAGGGCAGCCGAAAACTTATCAGGGAGGGAAGAAGAGTATCCTGCTATGTGGAATTTTTCTTATCTCTTAAAAAAAATACTTTGGATATCTTTATTGAATAATTTTGAGAAATAATTAGTTTTCTGTTACTGTAAGCAATTCTTAAGCTGATAGTATTACTAACTGCTATTTTTAAGATTGGTGGTGTGTCATGGGATATTTTTTGGATTTTGTTTTTTGGTTTTTTTTTCCTCCCTACCTGGTGGTGGACAAAGCTGGACTTCTGTAAACTTCACTGGAAGAAGAAAAGAAGATTGCTTACAAACTTAATCTTGAGATTTTCTCTCTCCACTGGAAACTGTAAAGCTTTTATGTACAGTTGATTAAGTAGTCCTAGTCTTGGCAACTGCAAATAGATTATGAAAGTCAAATATGATTGGAAATTGTTGTATATGGAAGCCCTATCTCAGGATTCTGAATTCACCCTTTTATCCTTTTTTTATGCCCTTCATACTTGGTTCAGCTTCATATCCTTGGAAGAAGAAACCTGTGAAAGTCTTAAGTATTTTCCTACCATAGTGAAGAAGGTGGAAAGGTGAATGAGGAAGCTAATGAAAAGGATCCTTGCATCAAAAGTGAGGGTGTTGTGTCTGGGAACTCTAGTTTATATTAATGAACAGTCAAAGAAAGTTCATATATGTCTACAATAAGAAGAATGCCCATTGAAAAAAAGCCGAAAAAAGTAAGTCCTTCCTGTGGAATGAGTGAAAATCAAATTAACATCTCAGAAAATTGCTTGTATCTGGGAGGCTTCTTTAAAAATTTGAAAATGTGATGTATCAAGGAGGTGTTGGAAAGAAGATAATAAGACGTTTTAAGAAGGTGATTGATTGGAGTGTCATGCCAGTTTAAAGAGTTGGTCAGTGTGAAGGAGTTTGAAAATAGAAGCAAATAATTGATACAGTGAAAAGTGAAAATAAGCCTTTTTCTTTTCATAATATAAGAACAGCTGAGGTTGCACAAGACTGAGAAAGTATTTTGAATTTTTACGTGCATGGATCTGGTTTCTACAAGAATTAGTCTGGGAGTGTGTGACAATATGTGGGGCAAGAATATAGTAAGCATATATGACTCAAACCTGCACAAGGAGGGATGCAGATCACAACTTAAACCATAACTTATTGAGGCACTTTGGGGCCCAAGACTCAAGGTTAAATGAAATATTTCTTCTATCTATAGTTGTTTGAATCCTCCTTCGACATTGCTCTGAAAACTCACACCACTCTTGGAATGGCTTACTGGGCTGGTTGAAGTGGTAATTGTTTTGGGGGCTGATATTTAAGGCCTTGTGACAGTAGCTCTTTCTTATGTTCTAGACTTGGTATGTTGCTTTGTCTTTTCTATGCCCCTAAATGTTTGTGATATGGAGGAGATATATCAATTCTCTTGACATTGGAGGGTTTTTTTTAGCCTTTTTATATGCTGGTATGAAGCTAAGGAGAATGAGAATTGGTTAAATTAGTTGCTATAGGTCTACAAAGAGAATGAAAGCCTTTAAGCACATTAATACTGCATTTTGGTGCATTGTTGGTTGGACTTTTGTTTATTTGGTTTGGTTTTTTTAAATGCCGTAACTTTAGTACAAATAAGTTTTGCTGTAATTGTAGGACTGGCATGTTGTTGGTTTACCTACCTGGAATCTCCAGAAACAGGTGCCTTTTTTCAGCCCTGTGATAGCACTGATTATACAACAGCAGTGTTTTAACTTGGTAGGAAGACTAATTGCAGTTCTAACAAACCCTTGAACATGGGTGATTAGGCTAAAGGGTTTTTTTTCTCTCTTCTTTTCATGCTGGGAGTGTCTTTATTGCTGTTGATGCAGCTCCAGACTGAACACAGAGGTAGATCTGGTTGTCATAAAATTTCAACCAGTTCTGAACAAAGACTGATAGTGATGCCTTGTCAAAATAAGCTTTTGCCAACTGCAGTAACAGGTAGTTCTATATAACATGAATTATTACTGTAAGCATATATTAGTCTAGAACCTGAAGATTAAGTATAATAGGTCAGAAAGAAAATACTTCAGATTTGTGTGATATACTTATTTTTTTTCTAGTCACTGGGAGCAAAACTATTAGAAATGCAACATGGTTCAGGAAACCTGCATGGAGTTGGAATAGTGATCTCCTTTTAATGAAAAGTAAGTCCCTAAGTTGCAGAAGGAGTGCTTTAAAAGTCAACTCCAGGAGATGGGGAAAATTTTTTTTTTTGCCTTTTTTGTTTGTTTACAGCTTGTATTTCTGCAAACAGGT